GCTCCGTCCGCTCCGGGCGCGGGGCTCGGGCGCCGCCGGGGCCCCCCGGGCCCGGTGCCGGCCCCGCCGGGCCGGGGGCAGCGGGCGGGGGTCTGCCGGCGCGGCGCCGCCTCTGCCTGCCGGAGGAGCCGCTTTCCTGCCGGAGCCGCGCTGCGCCCGGGGCCGGGAGCGCGGCTCCGCATCTTCCAGCCTCCCTCGCTGCGCTGCTTTTGAGGCGCTCCTGAGGAATTTTTTGGGTCGTCTTCTTTTGTTCGTAGCTGGTGTATGAGAAGGGCCGTGGTGTTCTTGTTGTTTGTTACGGTTCTTGCTTCAGGTGCTGATGGACAAGGGTTTTTTTTGATTGAGTTGGTTGTTGGATTTCTTTTTGATCGGTTTACCATGGTTTTTCTGGGTCGTAGCATGAAGTAGAGGGTAGGTTTTTAATTCGGTTGTGGAGCCTTTTATTAGCGTGAGTATGTAGTGGTTAATTTGGTTGGTTTGAGGTAGTGTCCTGTAGTTAATTAGTGAGTTTTTTTTTAATATTGATAATTGCATTATTGTTTATTATAGTATAGGGGTTTTATTCGTTTGTCTTATTTGATTGCCGTGTATGTTTTATTGTTGGAGAGAATTTGGTTACATTTCTCTTTTGGCGACGTGTTTATTTCTATGTGGTATTTATGTTTTGATGGTTTGAGGCATTATGGGTTTCTTGAGTTAGAGATTATTATTTTGTTGTTGTTAATATAATTTTTTTTTTTAGTTGGATGTATTTGTTGTTTTTTATTAGTTTTATTTTTGGGAGCATGGGTATTCCTATGGTGGATATTTATAGATAGTTATTTTATTTGGGTGGTGAATTTTTGTTTCTTCGTGGTTTCGATTTTTTATATCTGTAATTATTTTGGGGGGCTTAGTTAATTTTATAGCGTATTGCGTTCTCTTTATGAGTTAGTGTAGTGGTAGAGTTTTGTGGGTTTTTATTAGAAAATTTCGGGTTCTGTTGTATGGTTTGGAGTATAGGAAGTTAGTTGGAGGGTTGTTTTTTTCTTTTTAGTGGTTTGTGTGTTTTGCTGTGTGGGTTTCTATAGTTTTTTTTAAATTTTTCATTTTTGTGATGTGATAAGAACTGTTAGTGAAAGGACTGTAGTGCGGGTTTTTTTGCTGGTAGTTGGTTGGCTGGTGGAGCCTTTCTGAATTTTTTGGATGGTATTGGTGGGAATTTGATGCTGTTTTGGCATTTTATTTTTAGGAATTGGATTACAACTGCAAAGTTTTAACTATAACTCTAATGGAACAAACAAATGCATAAATATGAAAATGGGAATATAAAACTTCAATTTTAAATATAAACGGAATACATATAAATAAAACATGTTATATAAATAATGTTATCCATTACTATTAGACATTATATTGTTTGATATAGAGTATTTTATTTGTTTATATAAATACAGATTATAAATATAAACCAAATCCATATAAAATACCAATACAGAGATGTATAATTAATACATGTGGGTATATAAATATAAAAAATACAAAATAATAGAAATCAATACAGTACATAATGCATATAATTAAGCAAAACAAATATATACATATGAAAATGGGAGTAGAAAACTTAAATTTTAAATATAAACAGAATACATATAAATAAAACTTCACTTTGAAATATAAACAGATTCATGTAAATTAAACATGTAATGTAAATATGTATTACTCTAGGATATTATAATGTGTGATACAGAGTATTTTATGTATTTATAAATATAAACAAAATCCATATAAAACATCAATTTAGAAGTATATACTTAATAGATGTAGATATATAAATATAAAATTTACAAAATCATTGAAATCGATGCAATACATAATACGTATTATACTCTATATGTCCTCTTACAGCACATTATATTTCATATGTATTATATATCTAAATATATAAATATATATTACATAATATATATAAATATATAGTACATTAATATAGTATAGCATAATATATAAGAACTTGTAAGTGTCAAAAATATAAATATAGAAATATTTAAATATAATTTAAACAAAAGGAGATTTTTATTTTCTATTTGTTAGGAGGTAGGGATTTTATTATAAAAATTTCAAATATAAATAAAAAAATTAGAAATCGATGTATGGAAATATATCATAAACACATCAAGAGCTATAGAAAAAATTAAATGTAAGTAAATGTAAGTATTAACATCAAGTATTTTCGTTATACATCCATATACATTATAAATCCGAATGTGAATATAAATATGAAAAATATAAACTATGTTGAAATGCAGTTCAAGAGGAAAGGTTTTTTCTTTCGGTTCCTATCGGGTCAGAGGCAGGTTTTTTGTTCCGTTCTTTCCCCCGCGGATGCTTCGGGGCGTTCGCTGCCGAGGCCGTGCCGGCGGGGACGGCGCAGTGCTGCCGCCTTGTGGGCAGAGAACGGTACTGCAGCCCGCCGCCCGCGGCCGCCATCTTGGGAGTGGCGTGGCGCGGCCTCGCTTGACCTTCTCGAGAGGGCGCGAAAAGGAGGACATTGAAATTCGAGGACCCGTGTCTGTTTTCTACACTGCCTGAATTGCCCGCACCGCCGGCGCCCCCCGACGGGATTTTCCGCGGCGGTTCCGATGCCTTGCACACGGGCTGTGGGGTCAGCAGCACGGCGAGCGTGCGGGTTTTTGGCGGGAGCCGACAGGCATCGGCAAAACGGCCTCTCTCCGTCAAGGTCCCCACGGCCCGGCTTCTTGCGAGCGCCTTGGCGCGGGCTCGCTTGACCGTCTCGAGAGGGCGCAAAGAAAAGGATGCGAACATCCGGGAGCCGTGTCTGTCGACTGCTCTGCTTGAACACCACCCTGACGCCGGCGTGGCCCGGCGGGATTTTCCGCGGCCGTTCCACTGCCGTGCACACGGGCTGTGGGCTCAGTGGCTCCGCGGGCGGTCGGATTTCGAGCAGGCGCCGACCGGCATCGGCAGATTCGCCTCTCTCTGCCCGGCTCCTGCAGCGGCCGCCATCCTGGGCGCGGCCCCTGCCTCTGCCATGCCGCGCGGGGCGCCCGTCCCGTCCCCTCCCGTGCTGTCCCATCGCCTCCCTGCCGTACAGCTAGAAATAAACAAAACCAACGTAGAAATATATATAGGTTAAAAAGAAAGGGCTTTTGGGGCGGAGGGGGCGTTATTTGGTTCGAGGCAGGGTCTTTTAGTTTCTGTGCGGGATTTTTTTTCCAACGGGCTCGATCGCCGCCGCTCTTTTCCGCCTGCCTCCCCTCCGGGCGAGCGGCGGCCCCCGGCTGTGGCGGGCGGCGGTGCTGCCGCCTTGTGGCAGAGGGCGGTACTGCAGCCCCCAAGCCAGCGCCCGGCAAAACCACCGAGACGGGGCGGGAAGGGCGAGGAGCGGCGGCGAGCGCGGCGGTGTCTGTGAGTGAGGGGAGGGCTGAAGGCGGCTCCGCGGCGGCGGCGCCGCACAACGAGGGCGGGTGGGCGGGGCCGGTGGCGGCGGAGGCGCGGTTGCAGCCCTCCCGGGCCGCGGCCGAGCGGCCTCGGAGCAGGGCTGCGCTCCTTTCCCGGCACCGCGCCCCTCTCCAGACGCCGGGAGCGGCCGCGTGCCGGAAAATGCCGCCGGGGCGGCGGGGCGGAGCCCTGGCTCTGCCCGCCCCTGCTGCCGCCCTCCTTGGAAGGTCAAGGGAGCCGCCCCGTCCCGCCGCGTCCCTGGCTCGTCCCGCCGCCTCCCCGTGCTTTTCCGCCGTCTCCACTCTCGCACAAGCCCCCCGCCTCCGGGCCCCGCTCCGGTGCAGGGAAATGCAGGAGAACACGGAAGCATCGGGGCAGAACCGGCGCTGGAGGTGCCCGAGCCGTCTCCCGGCCCGCAGGAGCAGAGGTGCCCGCCGCCGTGAGCTGACAGGTATGCAGGATGGGCTTTGCCTCGCTGCGTTCCGGTGCGTGCTGCTGCGGCAGGAAAGAGCGAGAGCTCCAAAGCCCTGAGTAGAGCGCTTGGGGAATGGGAGGCGAGGAAGGCTTGGGCTAAGGATGGATTGAAACCGGGCTGCCTGTTCGTGCCCAAAGAGACGTTTGTTATCCACACTGCCAAAACGACCACCTGGTACACCCTAGGTCTGCCTCGTGTTTTGTGTGTTTTTATTTCCTGCTCATGTCATTCCAAAAAGCAAGGGCGGAGCAAATGGGACTGGTTCCCACTGTTGCTGTGTGAAGGCTTTTTACAGGCTGCTGTATTGATGTCGTCTTTTTCTTCACTCCAGGCTTGGCTTTTCCCATCTTTTTCCTATGGCTGCTGCATTGGGTGTCCCCAGGAGGGCTGGGTCCCTCAGCAGGGGTCTTAGGAGTTGCTATGAATTCTGATTTTTCTGAAGGTGTATGGAGGTGTGCTATCAAATCAGCTCTTTTCTCTCCTGATAAGCTTTCCATCTATGACCACCCATGCACTTATGTGTTTTAATCACGTAGCCGGACACACTAAAGCTTTTACTTTCTAAGCCAAAACCTGAAGCAGATGACTGTTTGCTTAGTGTGTATGAGAAGTGGCATTTGTGCTGGAGAGTTGGAGTGGGGAAGAAAGGATGGACTGGATGGGCATGGGAGGAAACACTTGCACAGCAAGGCAAGGCAGTGTGATGATTCAGGAGGAAAAATGAGAGGTTGTTGCTTCTGATCTGTGGGGACTTTCCTTTGGAATGATGGATCAGAGAGTGTGTGGAAGCAGAGAGCATCTTCTGGATATTTTTGCTCTGTAAACTTCTCTCTGGCTTCACAGGTCCATGCTGGAGATTGGGAGAAGGGTCCCTGCTGGTTGCTGTGTCCTCGGTGGGCAGAGAGATCTGACCTTGGCCAGATGGGCTGGTGGGTATTGAATCAATCCCTGCCTCCTCGTGAGCAAGTTGTTTGAAGGAGTGGTCAACAGGGATGGCTTTTAGGTGGCTTCAGTTCACTTTCTTTTTCATTTTCTGTTTCTGGGTGTTTTGATCCTGACATGGCCAAACCCTCAAGTTTGCAGAATTAGGGCACTTCCCTGTATGAACTGTGAAATGTCCCAGAAGCTGATCGATGTCTTTGTGCTCCTGCTGTGTTAATTTGGGCTGTGCTTCAGCCTTCTCTCCCTGGGCTCTTGCAGTTGCAGTATCTCTTGGGTGCTGTGCAGAACGGAATCAGGCAGCCAAGCCTCAGGTTTCCCTTCTCCCTGACCCTCTACGCTGCTGGTGTGGCACAGCAGATCCTGAAGCAGGTACTGAAACTTGCTGCATGTGTCACTGCTGGGGTGAAAAACGGAGCCTTGGGGAGTGTTGATCTCCTCACCTTCTCTGTGCTCGTGCATTCTTGACTGAGCTTTTCCTGCTGGGCAAGAGAAGGGGAGGGTGGGCAGCACTCAGAATGAGCCTCGGAGCAAAGGCCTTCTGCAGTTGCTGGGCTGTTCTCCCAGCTTGGAGCGCTGCACACTCACCGCAGCTCCACAAATTGTCATCCGTGCTTGTGGATTGGCAGCACTGTCCTCCTACACAATGCCAGCTTTCTCTCTTTGCAGAGGAGCACGTGTACATAAAGGTAAAGAGATTCTTTCTGTCACACCAGTATTTGGACCTGAGGAAGGTACCAGTTTTTTTCCAGCTTTTCTACAGTTTTGATTCTGAGGTAAGAGTCCCATTTTAGGTCTCCAGTAATTCTTCAGAAATGTATTAAAACAGCCGTAAAAATACAATGAAATCTCATTCTCCCACAGGTAGTTAATTAGAAGCATCTTTCTTATGTTTCATATTGGAATTAAAAACGTTATTTCCATGGGTTTTTTGTTATTTTCTTAATACTAACACACAATGAATTGTGCTGTGTATGCTCTGTGAGCACAAGAAACAGAATATCCTGCCCCAGCTAGCTACAATTCCTCTTTGAGTTTAGATTAAATAACTTTGAGTTCAACTGAAGTATTTTAGAAACAGCAACTTCTAAAATTCCATTTCCAGTGCATGTTTGGGCTGCAGACTGACTGTTCCCAATCACTGTTAGTGATTAAATTTGATAGGAGTGGAAATGGAGAAGTCCAGAACAAGCTGTGGTAAGCCCTGAGCTGGCACTCAGAGGGAACCAGGGTTTTGTGCTCTTAGGAGCAGGTATTCTTTGGAAACGTCTGAATGTCTGATGGTGGTGTTTTTCTTTGTGACTTCCAGTACAAAACAGCATGAGTGGATACTCAGATTTCTTGGGGAAGGGCTGCGTGACAAACATTGCTGTGAGCTTTGTGACTAGCAGAGGATTTTCCAGGTCATTCTTTCATTTTTCAACAGTCCTTTGTGTGACGAGGGCTCCCAGGTAAGAATTGAAAAAGAAAGTCCCAAAAAACCCCAAACCACAGAAGCTTGCATGACTTTGAGATCTCAAGTACCAAACAGAAAGGAACAGCTGACTCTGCCTTGGTCCTCTTGAAAATCTGTTCCTTGTTGGTTTTGTGTATGTGTGGAGGGGGAGATAATTGCTTGTGTCTAAACCAGTCCCATCCTTATCCCCTGAGACTGGAACAGGTTCCTGCCATCATGGAGCCTCAAGTGGGTGACATGGTTTTGCTCCTGCAGTCGGGGCCTTTTCTTTTTGGGGTCTCTATTCCCCAGCCAGCACATTTGTTATGCGAACAGTGCTTCAGGAGGAGGGAAACTCACGTGCCAGGAGCTCTCAGGTTTGGGAGCATCCACCCTGAGTATTTCAAGTATCAAAATCTTGGACAAAAAGAGAAAATTGTCTTGCTACCTGAATACTTCTTGTAAGAGCAGCACCTGTGGTATGAAGCATTGAAGGGAGAATGTCTTTCCTTCTCTGTAGTTCCTGAGAACAGGTGGCATTCATTTTACCTGGAAGTTGATCAGATACCAGCCAAATTGCTCATTTTAAGTTAGATAATTAGATCTTGGCTGTAACAGAACAAGTTGCATTTTCTGTTTCAGAGTCGTATTCTGGAGATATTACAAAGTGCTGCCCGTGTCACCAGAGCTACCTATGAGCTGATGGAGGATCACAGCCTCCTCATGGGGGTCCTGCACAGCTTAGAGCAAAGGTAACCAGAGAAGTACAGAAGAAATGGGAACAATTTTCCTGTCCACAGTAGAAGAATTCTGTGGCTGAGGATGAAAGCAAGGGTGACAGACATGGAGACAGGGGCACCAAGGGCTGCCCTGGCAGAACTTGCTGAACTCTGAGGCCTCCCTTGTGTTTTTGAAAACGGACTCAAGATGCTTTCAGGTAATGGCAGGGGGTGCTTTTTGTGATTTGGAAATCACTCCTTGAAAAAGCAAAATGACACCTTGTGCTGGTGTCTTTACTTTTTAAATTTCAAGCACCCTCAGTTGCCATCCTGTCACAGGACCTGCTGCACAGGAAGTGGCACAGTGATGGATTTGAGCTGTCTAGAACATTATTTCTCCTCCCCTTGCTTCTCCCTCAGAAAAAATCTCTTCTGCTAACATAGAGTGCCCTGACAGGCAAGTGCACCAAAGGTGCAGTAGAATATGGTCCCCTGTAGGAGACGGACCAGCTGCTGGTGAGGATCTGCCTTTTAAATGTGGTTTTCTTTTTTTTTTCTTTTTTTTCTTTCTTCTTTTTTTTTGGTTGTTGTTTTTTTCTGGGTTTTGTGTTTGTTTGTTTGGTTTGTTTTTCAGGTTTCTGGAGAACAAGGTGATAAATAAAATTATTTTCTTACTCCATACTCTATGGCTAATAAACTTTGGAGACAAGAGATCCCTTTTGCTGGTCACTGAGAGCATCTGACAGCTCGTATTTCCAAGTGCTTTATTTAACAGGAAACTGGTTTGTTCCTTCTTGTGAGTAGGATTGTTGGCTTTGCATGGGCAAAGTCACTCCAGATTTTCCAGCTAGGAAAAGAGTTAGGGAACTCTTTTAAAACAGTCCTGGAGGTAGCAAGCAGCTTGGCTTGGTAATCCTGTGGGGAGATAGAAGAATATCTGTTCTGATTTTTGTCTTCTCTTTTTTCCACAGCTGTTTCTGTATTCCTGACTTCCATTTACATTGGAGACATGGGGCTTGGAGCACAGGAGCCAGATATGTTACCCGTGTCAGATTGATCTGCACTAGTGCAGATTGAGTTACAGGATGACTCAGACACTTGAAACAAGGGGAAGAAACCATTCCATCTCTTTGCAAAAACACTTGGCTCCATCAGGGCATTAATTCAGGGGACTAACACTTAACCTTTAACATTCTGCTCTGCTCTGTCCTCATCGCCGTGAGCCATGAGAGCCTCCTGAGCTGTTCTCATATAGACCTACCTTGTTTGGTCAAAAATAATCAGTATTTTATTACTGGGTGCAAACTCAGGGGGAAGATTTGATTCAACATCTCACAGTGGCACATTAACGCTCCAATTTCCCTTTTCTTGAACAGTTTGAGAGACAATATTACTTATGTAATTTTTATTTACAGGCATTTTTATCATTTTGAAGAACCAAAAAGACTGTTTGTGCATGTGTGTGTGCTTAATATCCACCCTCTCCCTAATACAGAATGGGGAAAAAAGGCTGCAGAGCTTCCTACACTGGGGTGTAAGTAGCCAGTATGAATAGAAGACTGGACTCGGGAATCAGGACAGTCTTCTTGGGTTAAAAAGCTTGAATGGCACTTCAAGACATTTATGTCAGACCTGGTTTATTTTTATTACCCATTTTTTAATAACAAAAAAGCCCCAATCCATTGTGATGTGCGACAAAAGCCCACCTTCCCTCTGCTTGGAACAGGTTGACAGATGGAACTAAAGCCCAGAGGATTTTCTGCTCAGTGATTATACCCAGATTTCTCTGGGAAATCTGGTACATTGTTCTGAAATGTGGCCATGAGAGTAGTTGAGCATGCCAGTGCAGATCTGCAAACATGCAGTGCCTGAGCAAACTGAATGCATTTGGCTGAACTGAGATGAGCTCAGCTGAACCGACCCGTCCTCAGCCCAACCAAACTGTGTTTAGCCAAACCCAGCCGAACCTAGATGAGCTCAGCCAAACTGAAATTCTGCTGAACTTGTATTTCCTGATGTGTAAAGTAACAAGGATTCTGCTGAATTCCAACACATGAGCAAGGACAGCAGGAAAAGTTCTTCCTGAAGTTAATTTACCCCCATGGAACCAGCTGACATCACAAAAGGCAAAGACACTGACAGTGAGTAGGCAATATTATTTATTATTTTCTTCCACCACTTCCTGGGGGCTTTCTTTAAAAAAATACTTCTGACATATTAAGCATGTCCCACAGCATTCCCAAACTTTAAACTGCTGGATTTGCACAGTTCTTCCAATGCATTCTGCTGGCAAGTACTCCGTCCTTGCACCAGGATCTGCCCTGGGTGCTCTTGTGACCGTTAATTATCGTGAGTGCAGTCACTGCCTAATGAGCTCCTGCCCGACCCTGTGTTCCTGTTCATCATCGTGCTGAAAGGAATGAGAAGAAGATAGTCTTTACCAACAAACTGTGGGTCTGCTGGTACACCAACCCAGATACTGACAGATGAAAGAAGTAATGAATGGAACTATAAATTCAGAGTTCCAGTGCCCCAGTACCCAGAGACCCACCTGGTCAGGGCAAGTCACTCTTAGGCAGTGCTGTGACTGACTTCAGCCCAGGCAAAATCACTGAACTGAAGCTAAGACACAACTGAAAAAATCTTTCAAAGAACAGGGAAGCTAATTCCAGACTCTGTGGATTTGGACAAAGACAAGTGCAGTGACAATGTCTGATACCATTTTCTGAGGGAGGTGTGATTGGAAGGATGAAGGCAGCTGCACATCTCTACTATGAGGGTGCTCATGCACCACATCCAAATACTGAATGGAGTTCCTTATGGTAGGATATCTATCTGGAGCCAGCAGGGAGCCCCGGGGCCCTGGACTGAGCCTCTCTTAGAACAAGAAACAGGGATGAGGGATGAGGCATGCAGATCTTCCAATTTTCTGGGCATCCAGCTTGGGTATCTCTCCAACATTACACCATCTGGTAGAAAGGTAATAGCCAGAAGAATTGTGTTGTGCATGGATATCAGAAACGCACAGCCTCCAGTGAAGTGCATCCCTCCAGGGACACCTGGAGGGAGCTGGCCCTGTCCTCTTTCCACTGTGTGAAGTTCCAGCCTTGGCCAGGAACCATCTCTGGCCACTAGCCCTTATTTTTCTGTGACATTTTGGATGTTAATACACATAATTGAAGCAAATGTTAATGCTCTGCATCCCAGCAGTGTGATCATCAGCTGCCTTGGCAGGCAGCTGGGTTTGAAATCAGTGGTCCCAGGACTGCTGGTGGGTGAGCTGGGAGAGCACAGGAGGTCCTGCATGTCCCTGGGCTTGACAGAGATGGATGAGCAGAGAAACGGTGAAGGCAAAAGTTCTCCAGCCCTGACCGGTGATGTGAGCGTGCGTTTGTTGGGTGAGTGTCTCGGGATTATCGTAAGAAAAGAGACGTGAGGTTTCCACAGAGATACTGGATGATTGTCATGCCAAGGGCAGTGGGTGGGGGACACAGCAGAGGATGACAGGGCAGGGGATGCAAGTTTACACTAGTGGCTCCTTTCAAGCACTCCACTGGGTTTCAGTGCTGGAACTGGGGGAAGTGAGGCTTAAAAAACAAACAGAACTCAAGCAAAAAGGACAAGTTTTGTGTGTGACTGGGTTTAATAGTTTCTTCAGTCCTAAAATTGTTTTCTCACAATATGTCTCAAGCCTAGAAAAATGATAACATAGGATGGTTTCAAAGCCTAAATAAATCTTACTGAACACTTGTTTTTTTTTTTCATTAATGATTTCTGGGCACTCCAGAAAACATTTCTAGACTTGCCTTGTCTAGAGCCACAGTGGCTCCTTTGATGGCCAAAATTAAATACATGAAGGATAAATATGTGTATTTTAAAGCCAAGTATTTTGCTCAGTAACATGATGAAAAAGTGAAAAAAACTTTAAAAATGAATATTTTGTTTAAGTCTTGCAAGCACTCTGAGATTTTCAAGTACACAGACTTCTCCTGCCACTTTTTTAGGAACAGTAAATTCTTGGTAACATGCCTCTGTTACCCTGCAACTTCACATCCATTTCCATGTCTATTGTGTTGTTAGTCCGACTCCTGCCTTGTGGTTTATTTGAGCAAACTGCCTTTTTAAAATTGTTTTTATTACCCTTTGTGAGCATACCAGAGGCCCTAGGTGCCAATAAATGAGAATATTAGTGCTCCCTTTGACTGCTGTTTCCCTTCCCTCTGCTTGTTTCTGACCTAATCCTGAATCTCTGACCAGCCTGCTGAGCTGAATTTTCTGATGATAAAAGGAGGAGCAGTGGGTCAGGAGACACTCCGACCAAATACTGACAGAAGTGTCCCCTCTGTGCAGTTATAAACGTTATGTGTCATTGCTGCGTCACTGGAGGCAGTGAATGTTTCCTACAGGTTATTTTTTCACACCAGTATCTACTTCATCTCTGGTTATACTTACTTTGCTGGCGTTGATCCGGAGCAGGACATACACAGCAAAACAAGGAAAAGAAACATCACGAACGCAGCAAGGCCGACCCAAAAGGCAATGACGATGGAGTCTGTGGGCACAGCAGAGTAATTCTGTCATGTGCATTCTGCATGGCAGAAATAAAACACAGTGAGATGGTTTATCATCTCTAATAAAGGTGTGCCGTTTGAATCATTCCGTTTCTCCTTTCAGAGAGAGGACTCCAAGTGCCAATTTGTTAAAGGTCTTGGGAACGTCCTAACAGGGTATGGCAGCAGGGATGAGGGAAGGGCTGGGAAAAGCCTCCAGAGAGTGTTCTGGTGGCAACATCTGGTGCAGATGTTGGAACATGGCTCCTTTTACATAACCATAGTGCAGAAAGCCTGAGTGGTTACTGCCTAATTCTGCAGGATCTTTCAGGAGAGGCCCCCAGGAAGGGAATTCCAGCCTTGAGAGCAGTTTATACCAAGAGAAATTGCAAGGGGAGTTTGTTGCCAAGTGCCTGTGCCCCTCCCAGCACATCAGTGCAGTGGAAGAGAATGTGCCCCTTGCCCTGTTCAGCTGCAGTGCCCCTGCAGCCACCATAGAAGAGGGCAAGATGCTGCCTGCTTTGCCAGGAGCACATGGTTTATTTCAGGAACAAGAGGGCTGGCAGTGCCAAAGTGTGTCCACAGCCAGTTTAGAGGGAGTGTGAGGTGGCTGGGGGAGCAAAGGGAGCTGCTCTTTCATGGAGGCTTCAGTGCTGTGCTGATTTTATTGCCTGAGCCTTGGGCTCACTTGAGGGAGGGGATGGATCTGCTCCTGCCCCCACAGCACCTTTGGCCACTGGTTCAAAAACGCTCCTTCCTGGTGTCACTGTGGTGCTGGTGGTGTCCTTGGGAAGTTTGGGTGCTCTGCCCTACATTCACAGCTGGTGGCTTACTTCAGATGAGGTGGAAAAAGAAGGGTCACTGACTCCAAGACAAATATTGACCAAGACAAAATAAATCTTCCCTCTGCAAGTACAGAAAACATTGTGTTCTTTGAAACAGGTCCAGTATGTTTGATTGAGTGCTTCTTTGTGAAAAAAGTTCAGTCTGTGTTGGCATCAAAGCCACAAATAGATTAAGGGAATGAGCCCAGCTCCTTTTAAACCCAAAACTAGAGCTGGCCCAGCTGTTCCCTCATCAGAAACAGGAGTTTAGGCTGGGCTACTGAAAAATATCAGTGGGGAGGGCAGCTTGTTTTATTCTTCCTTTGCCCAGGGACATTTTGAAAAGCCCAGAGTTTTGAAGTGTTCCACACCATTGGGACAGAAATTAAGAGTTTGGATTTATAGAATTCCCTGTCAGAGCTATTTTGGCTTTTTCTTTTACAAACAATTATAATAGATGTTATGGAATTCACCAAAGCCAAATAAATTGGCTTCAGGGCTCGGGTGGAGCTTGAATCAAGATTTCCTAGGTTTAAATTCTGCAATTAATTGGTTTTTGCTTGTTTGCTTTTGTTTGGTGTGGGTTTTTTTTCTTTAACTGGAATAATGTATTTTCGTATTTTACCAATCTATAAAAACTTTCCTATTGCTAAATTTTGCCATCACATTTTGTGCATATGTGTGTGAGTGCTTATAAATAGCCTATTAGATCATGGGCCAATTAAGATTTTTCATTATTTTTGTAGAAAATTGAGAGAGATGCACAACATTACAAATAGAAAACTTTTCATCTGGGTTTACCTTCATTTTTATGAGACAAATTCAGTCTCAAAAAGTTTCAGGAACTAGCCACACATAGAGGAAAAGAAGTGCAGAGATTCAGGTCTGTGTTTCACATTAATAAAAACCCAAAACCTAGCAGGCAAAAGTGAACAAGGGAACTGCAACCCCATTGCAGTGTTATGGAACTGTGTAATTCCCTGGGGCTGCCCCAGCAATGGCCCTGAGCACATGGAGCCGATAATCCCAGCAGCAGCTTCTCAGGGAATAAGAATGTAAATATACAAAGACAAACTATATTCATTGCTTGACTGGTGCCTTTACTCAAAACAACAAAAAATCCCAACCAGCTGTTGGGAATTATTTCCCTTGGTGTTTTCATTAGAACTTGTAACCTGCTGATCTCCCACTGGTATTTGGAGAAGGAAGAATAATAGTACCAAGAGGATGCACTCTCTATTCCTCCTAGGCTGCTGACATGGAAAAAATGTCTATTTTCATCTTCTTAGAGTACAAAAATGCCTGAAAGGTGGTAAACTTCTCTATTTCGGGGGGGGGGGGGGGGGGGGTGTCAGAACAAGTGGGACTAAAAAGTCAATACAAAATCAGTTTACCCTGCTTTTTAATGGAAATAAGGCTTGATGAGATCACTCTTAGGCACATATGGGGTAATTTCCTCCATAAAACTGTCAACAAATTTAAATTAACAGAGGGTGAGCATCTTGTCTCAGAAGCACAGTTTCTACAAATTTCAAGAAAACAGGCAGCAGAATTAAAATACTGTATCAAGGAGGGAAGTGCCACAACACAAATGCCATCTCTGTTACGCACTGGGTGATCCAAATGATAGTAAAATGTTATTAAGGAGAAAATGGGGGAAGGTTTATTCCTGATTTTTGGGTTTTGCTATGCCAGCCACATGCCAAAGATTTACATCTAGCTTAGCTAAGCAGTTTGGGGTTTCTCTAGTTGAATTTGGGGGTAATCATCTGCCCTAACTTTAAAATTGAGAGAATCAGAGGAGCTGCTCATAATTTTCCTGGTCCCAGCACCACCAAATGTTGCTCTGCAACATTAGAGAGCAAGATTTTCTTTACAGAAGGATGTGGATATTCACACCACTTTCTTTAAGGTGAGGCGCTCTAAGTTTGGAGGCAATAAACCCTCAGCTGATCTGAATGCACAGAAAAACTTTTCTAGAGGGGGTGCAGAGTAAGTTTCTGCTCCTTTTTCCTACTGCTGTTCAGGCAAGAGAAGGACAAGCAGCTCCTAACACAGAATTCAACCTCCACCATCAGAAAGGCAGTTTCTTGCATTTTTAGTGAGAGAGACAAGATTCTGAAAGGCAATCGCAATTTCTGGGAACAGATAATAATTTCGCTGTAGTAACCTTGGGAAAAACAATTTTAGTCTGTGAATCCACATCTGAACAGTTACAGCCATCTTCAGTAAACTAAAGAGCAATGAGTAAACCCTGTAACTTTGTTAATGAACTGAAGATACAACCACAGGCAGAGGCTTGACAGAAATCAAGGGAAAGCACTGTCTGCAGCCAAGTGACTCCAACACACCCTGCCTGCTCTCCCTTGGTCTTTGTCAGCCCACCCATCACCCTCGGTTAATCCGCTGGGACACAGCTTGTCATTTTATTTTAGCAAAACCTAATCAGTGCAGTTACATTAGAAAAACCAAAATCATTTGCCACTACAAGTAGCCATAACAAGACACTGCTGTTTCACTGTGCAAAGCCAGGTGTGAAATGGAATGAGCTATGGCAAGGTCAGATTGGTGAATGCTACTTCATATCCTTTGGAAATAAACTGCAAAGCCCAGCAGAATCGGTTTCCGCAGCAGCAAAGCATTTGCACAATAATGGATACTATTACTTTATTAGTTCAGCAGCACTAAATCAAAGGAGGAAAGGTCAAAGAATAGGTTTGCAGCTTATTGTTCCTGGCTAGTGGAAACATATATTTCCTTTACTAAAAGTCTGAATGTTTACCCATTGCAATGTCAGCCTTGTCTCAAGATGAAAACACAGTATTTTTATGAAAACCTCTGCTCTTTCAGTGAACTTTGGTGACAGTAGCACACAGATAACCAGCACGCCGCACTACAGATTTGCAAGTCATCAAATTTCCCCTTAGCAAATGACCAAAAAAAAAAAAAAAAATCTGTCCTTGTAAAGAAGAATTAGTGTCAGCAGTCTTATAGCTTCAAATACTGTAAGATAAAGCCCAGAGTGTTTGTTAGTAATTATCCAGCCTGAAGGCAAACACATATTCACACAAACCAGGCACTGGCATGGACTCTGTTGCAGAAAACAAAACCAGGTCAGTGAGACAAGGTACCCAACATTTTCCCTGTGTAAGATTAGCACCTACCACTCCACAATACTTACATTTATTAACCTTCAACTTGCTTCCATCTACTGGAATTGGATCTATGTAATCCCAGTAATATTCATAAGACCAGAAATACTCCGAGGAGTTTGTTCTGTTAGCCATGTCAGTGGTGCCTTTTAAGCCAGCTCAGAACTCTGACCCACTACTTTGCTTCGCAGCACTGCAGCGCCCTCAGAAAGACAATTGCAAAACTGGTGTCTGTGCCAATCACTCTGGGGTCCTGCAGCTCAAGGGCTGCCTTGGGACTGAAAACATTTCGTGGCAATGAGTGTTAATGTATGACAGAGATGTACGAGGAGCCCTGAAAACGCAATCCTCGCTTCTTGCCAGTCACTCATGTTATTTCTCAGGATGTTTTAAACTGAGATGGGTGCCCTGTAACTTAGGGACAGGTTGGACAAGTGCCAGCTGGATCACAGACCCTTCTTTTCGAGCAGTGCACTGTTCCTGGGAGCTCCCGAGCACAGCCGGGCTGGAAAACATTCCTGAATGTATCTGGATGGAAAGGACTGGGGTCTGGAGGGGTCACGCCAGGAGTGGCTGAGGACACTTGGCCTCTTCAGCCTGGAGGAGACTGAGGTCAGAGCTCACCGGGAGCTGCAGCTCCGGTCTCTGCTGCCCGTGAGCAGGACAGGACCCAGAGAAGAGCTGGAGCTGGATCCGGAGTGGTTTAGGTTGGCGATCAGGGAAGGCTCTTCCCCAGAGGGGCTGGCACTGCTCAGGCTCCCCGGGGCACGGGCACGGCCCCGAGGCTGCCAGAACTGCAGGAGCCTTTGGAAAGCGCTGCCAGGGATGCCCAGGGTGGGACTGTTGGTGTCTGGGCAGGGCAAGGGTGGCACTGGATGGTCCCTGGGGGTCCCTTCCAGCTCAGGGGGGGATCCCTGACTTAGGAGCGACCTGATAAATCGCCTCATACAAAACCGATGTACCGGAATAACCACACCCTTTGTCGTAGTTCCGTGCCCTTACGAGGTCCGAACGCCGCACGGGCGGCGCGGGCGGGCCCCGGGGAGCGGTTCCGGGGCAGCCCCGGCGAGCGGGGCGGGCGGCGCGGGGGCGGTTCCGGGTCGATGTCCGCCGTCACTGCCGCTTCCTCGGCGGGCCATTCGAAGGCGATGCTGGGGGCCGCTGCCGGTCCCTCGGCGGGCGGGCAGGACCCGATGGCGCTCTGCCCGGAGCTGGAGTACTCGCTGTCGCTGCTGGAGCCGGGCGGCGGCCGGGCCGAGCGGCAGAAGCGAGAGCGGCGGGCGGACGCGGCCCCCATGCCCATGGTGTTCATGTGCACCGGCTGCAGGCGGCCCGTGGGCGACACCTCGAGCTGGGTGTCCAACGACGAGGAGACCGGCTGCATCCTGCTGCGTAGTGAGTGCCGGCCCCGCCGCCCCGGCGTGTCCCCGCCGTCCCTCTGCCATCCCTCCTGCCATCCCTCCTTCCCTCCCTCTCTCCCGCTGCAGGTGCGGCCGCCAGCGTCGCCGTGGACCCAGAGCGGAAGGTCTCCAAGCTGCCCGGCGAGTGCGGATGGTGAGGGCCGGTCCTGGCCGGGCACAGCGCCGGGCACCGCCGGGGCTTCGCGGGGAAGGCGCTGAGGACAAGCCCGACCAAGGGCCCGGGGTGCTCGTGGGCCCCCAGAGCCCCTGGAACTCTTATGTGGGGTGCTCTGTACAAGCGCTTGTGGCCTAAGGCAGAGGGATTTCTCACAGGGACACAGAGCCATTGGCAAGGGGAATGGCATTAGGATGAAGGAAGGCAGGTTTAGATGAAATATCAGAGGAAGTTTTTCCCTGCGAGGGTGGGCAGGCCCTGGTTCAGGTTGCCCAGAGCAGCTGTGGCTGCCTCTGGATCCCTGGCAGTGTCCCGGGCCAGGCTGGACACTGGGGCTGGGAGCAGCCTGGGACATTGGAAGGTATCCCTGCCCACAGCAGGGGGTGGAATGGGATGAGCTTTAATGTCCCGACCACCATTTAGTGATTCTGATGGTCTTCCTGAGGTCAGTCAGCCTGAGGAGCTATTGCAAATTCAGGCTGAAAGATGAATGCTCATAATTTACAATGTGTAAAGCAAGAATGAATGCCTAAAAAAATTCTAATGCATAGGGAGGCTTTTTTTTTTTTGTGTGTTTTTTTTTTTTTTTTTAAGAAAAAGGATGGGGAGAAGTTTTCCTTTTATTTTCTTCTAAATAAATGTTATTTCTTACAGCATGGTAGAAACCTTATTCTGCTCTGGCTGCTCAACGACACTTGGCAGCATCTACAGGTGCACCTCAAGGAACCTCGACTATAAGAGAGATTTGTTCTGTTTCAGTATTGACTCCATTGACAGGTAAAGACAGAATGTTTGTGGGTCAGCCTGCCAGTTCCACTTCACTCACCAGGCATCACACTGAGGGTGCTCCTGTCATATCTCTGGGAAGTCTCGAGGGAGCTTTTCCTGCTGCTCTGTCCCAGAGTGGTTTTCTGTGTTGCTGCTGTTGGCATCAGAGTGCTCAGCTGTGAGGAACTGCCGTTTGTATGAGAAATTGCATTCCAGCCAAGAAAATATCACCAGGTCCAGGGCACGGGAAGGGTCCTTCTCATTTGATCAGAGGAGTGCCCAAACCAAGCCCCAGATAGGCCTGTCTGGAGTCCTTAGGGGTCGGATTATCAGCAGGAAGTGTGGCCAGAGGGGCTCAGGCAGAGCTTGGGGCGGGTCCAACCTGCACTGCTCTGTCCTTGCTAAGGTGGCATTATGGTTTGACACTGGCACAATGTCAGCGCTTTAATGAAAATTTACGTTTTTTAACTGAATGCTGTGAGATGTGATTAGGAACAGAGCAGAGCAGGCTTGAGCTTAAAAACAAAGGAGAAAACTTTATTATTTTACAACTACAATAAAAGGAATACACAGAATTTAGGATGAAAACCTTTTAAACATTCTTCTACTCAATTTCTACTAAAACACAGTGAGACACAACTCTGGATTCTTGATTAAGTTACTATTCTTTAGATAATTAATTTTTAGTTTATCAAGGGAGAGACGAGTTTGTCTTGTGTTATAGATCTCTAAGAAACACAATTGTAACTTCTTGTTTTTCTGTGTCACACATGGTACTGTCTGGAGAAAATTTGCTGTTGTGACACTTTCCCTTCCATGTCACAGTGCTCCCACCACTGTGCATGGACTGAAGCTGCTTATAGGGTTTATTTTTAAGGATGTTTTGCTAAGGACTAAAAGAGTAACAGTTTTTTCTTTTTGGGATAACAGTCCCCACCATTTTTTCCTTCTCTGGGGCTGAGGGTCTCAAGAACAGAGATAATATTTTTTTTTGAAGCTAGAGGGTTCTGCTATACCCTCTTTAACTTTTTTTCTTTGTTTACTTTACTCTTGTACATTTTTAGCTTAAGTAATTTTATCCTCTTAAAAATGCAGTCTCTGTCTTGTAGGAGAAAATTGTTTTAGTCTATGGCAATACAAGAAAAGTCTAGCTAAGGCTACTCTAGTATTTCTTTCTACTTAGGCTTCTTCCCTCATTTTCTTCTGACATTTTGGTCTTAGGCTATCTCTCTTTTCTTTTAGATTAAGGAGGAGTAAGGTTTTGTAAAGTTTTATTTTTTCAGGAAAGGGTTAAAAGTATTAAGCTCCCAGGACGGGTGAGATCTTACAATAGGCTGCTAAACTCTTATGGCTGGGCACTTGCTTTTCTCTTATTTTTGTTTTCTTTGTGGTGTACTGCTGGCACATGATGTTAAATTTTTAGGTGGAACGGGCTCTTTCTTTTTCTCTCTCTCTCTCTCTCTGGGAGTTTGCTTGGGACATTTTAGTGGCTTTTTTACCTTTATGTCTTGTGGGGCAGCTGGTTTGGTTTCATTCTCCTCACCCATCTTTCTTTTTCTGGGTCTCTGATCTGCTTCAGTTACTGGTGGCATGGCTTCCCCTCTGTACTCGTGGTGGACTGGAACAGAAGAGAGAGTTCTCTTGGGAGTTCTTTGCTTTTAACCCCCTGTGTTCTCAGAGGCGTGTCTAATGCTTTTAGTGGTCACTTTAAGTGTTAATATCTAAACTTGATGACTGATTAATTTGACTCCAACTTTTAGAGAACACTCACTTCTATGTCAAACTATAATAGGTGGGCAAAGGCAAATCTGACAGCTGAGTATGTGCTTGACACTCTCACTCAGCCCTCTTAAAATCTGTCTAGAAAATGAAAGTGTGCATGGGTTTAGTCAGTTTATAGCACTGAAAAGTGGTCTTAAGGTGTTCTTCAGTAAGTATATAGTGAATCACAGCTTTATGCCAATGTTCTTTTATGCAAGCATTGTTCTAATGGACAGTGTTCACCCAAACTAGTTTTAATGCCTCTGTTTTTTTCTGAAGTTCACATTTATTTTGCTGTATTGCTGTGGATGTTCACCCTTGTGCTCTGCACAGTGCGTTTGGGTTTTTTTCTTAATTCTACAGCTGTGATACCTTATTTTTTGGCAGTAAAATGGCATGGCAGTAAAATTCTCTACAGCACTAACCTGGCTGCAGAATGCACTTTTCTTGGAGAATAATGCTGCTTCTCCCAGCCAGCGCTGCACTGTTCCTGGTGTCTGTGCAATTTTTCACTGCATCCTGCAGCTTCAGAATCCATGGCTGCCTCTCAGGGTTCTGGAGGAGTGCCGTGTCTGGATTTTTGGCTTCAGAGTGAGAAGTGCATGATCTAAACTGTGGCATCTCAGCTATGTTCTAGGAACCCCAGCAAAGCAAGCTCTTATTCATGAGGAACCACTTACTCTTGAAAGTCGAGCTGTCTTGCAGGAGGTGCTGGAAAAGGTGAGATTTAACCTCATACCATTCTTTGTCTAAATCACCTCTGTGAAACCTTAATGTTCTTCAACACTTTATTTGGAACAGCTTATTTCACCCAGAGTAATTCAGTGCATTGTAGCATGTCATTGGTATCTTGAGTTATTCAAGATTTTCAGTAACTTTTCCTTCCATTTTTATGGTAATTAGCATTTTCTGTTTATCAAGCACAGCATTAGGTTCCTATTTATGTCTCAGTAATTTGGTATGTTTTTTCTAGTTAGTTCTGATTCACTTCTACAGATCTTCACTTAACTTTTAGTCATGTTTCTTCTTGCCTTTCGTGCAAATTGACTTACTGCTTTTGCTGTAGCTTTGTATTGAAATCTAAAATCATAAATCAAGTTGATGTTTTGCTCTACTAAAATCTTGTGACTGCAGGTAGAAAGAGCTGGGAGCAAATAGTGTAAGGAAGTTGTCCAGCTAAGCTGAGTGTGTTGCTCTGACACCGAGGCTGGAAAATTGTCCACTGTGTGGACAGTGAATGTTAGAGTTGGGTGAGCTTTCAAAGTATGAGAGCAGCAGGGAAAGAATCGAATGAAAAGAATCGGTGGTGTGAGATGAGATTTGAGCCCTTTCTAACATCCACATGTGCTCTTTGTGTTGTCAAATCCTGTGTGTAAGCCAGAATCTCTTCCTGGCTATTTTGCAGGTGGATGTGATACTCAAAGCTCTGGAGACAAGGCTGAGCACTGTCGAGTCATGCGTGGCTGCTCTGCACAGGGGGCGTGGCAGGAAACACTCGCTGAGTGCCGGAGGAGCGAACGGGAGCCTTGGCCCTGCCATCCTCTGGGATCTCTGGGAACATTGCAAGGACTGGGAAAGAGCTGAGAGCCATGGAAGCAGCGCTGACCGAGGCTGTGTCCCAGCCAAGGAGTTCCTCTTATGTTCCTTAAGAGGATACCCCAGGGCTTTTTTTCTTAATAAAGACTTCTGATCAGACAATCTGTTGATTTCTGGTTTAATGTAAATATTTATTTAAATTTTTGTCTCTGAAAGCAAAACATTTATCTCCTGACTTCCCTGCTATTCAGTATCTGCTGAGCTAAGCTAAGGAAAAACCTCCCTGTGATTCTGTAATTTTGAAAGAACCAGCATTAAGTCACTTATATTTTTCTTGTCTCCATAGCTTTAGTTTGTCTCGTGCTCAAAGACAGGAATGACTCAAGAACGATATGGGGTGAATTGTTAGTTTGGCGGGGTTTTTTTGCAAGTTCAGGGAGAAAATGTGATGTAAGAAAAGGCTTTTTTTGTAGCATTAGATTTTTGCAGCATTGCAGCTTTTCAAGCTTTCTAAGTAAGTCACTTCATTCCAATTTAAACTCTCTTGAAATATGCTTGATATGTTTTTTTTTTCATTATTATGTTAAGTTTTTGTTTTGGTTTGATTTGGCTTTCTTTTTTGCCTGGCGTGGGAAAATTTTACAGCTCTCACTTTTTTCTTCTCCAGTTGAGTGTAGTGTTATCTTCTTAATTCAAAAAACATTTGCTTGCTTTTCTTGCTTCTGCTTTTGCCTTTACTTCCTAGTTAGTTTAGCTAAGCAGTCCAATTCTTTCCCTGGACTGTCTCTTTTCCTTTCCTCTTCCTGAATACCATCCAACCTGCTCCAGACTGGGATCTGGGAGACACCAAGGAACACTGGAAGCCTGCATTTTGTGATCTGCAGCAGCCATCCCCAGTGCTGGAGAGAAATCCCCAGCGTCCAGACCCGGGCAACGACTCCCAGGAAAGACTTTCAGGATTTGTTCATCTCTTCAGAGTGGTGAAAGAGTTTTGTTGTCATCTGGTGTTGTTAATTTTTTTGGTGCTGGGGAGTGCTTTGTTCATTGAATAAACAGGTTCTTTTCCACTTCTCTGAGAGAAAATTTTTTCCTGAACCAGGTGGGTGGGGAGGGGCCGTGGGGGTTTGTTTTCTGGGGGCTCCTCCCAGAGGGTTTTCCCCAAATTTGCCCTAAACTAGGACACCAAAATAAAACTTATCCGTTTTCTTATGAATTCCCAGCAAATTGGTCCCAAAGGCTCTGTCACTCAGTCTCTGCTTCCATTGGTGTGGAGAGGCTGGATCCCAGTTATCACCCCAGGAGTGCCTCTGCATCCCTCTTCCCCACTTTTCTGTTCCAGTCGTGCAAAATACTCAGGCTTTGTTGTTTTCCCCCTGCAGTTCACTGCAGATCCCAAAAAAACCACAGGAGGGTAGATCATTACTTGTGCTTCCACCATCAGATGAGAGAAGAGATGGCCACATCCTAGGAGCCTGATTTTGTAGTGTTTTATGGAATTGGCCCAGTGGTTTTTACTTCTGGGGTTCCCGTAGTCTGTCCATGGCAGGTCCAGCCTGTGCTTCAACTTAGAGCCCTCAGTCCATAGGAAAATGAACCTTTGGGGAAGTTCTTACAGCTCTGCTTACTGCTTTATGAATGGTGATGATTTTCTGGAAGTAGGCTGTCCATTCTGACCTTTTTTCTTCCCTCTCCCTGCAGACTCTACCTGCTGAAAGGCTGAGGTGAGAGCAGGATCTGTAAAATCCCTGACTCTCCGTGTCTTCCTGAGGCTGAAGCCATGTTTGCTGTCAGTGACAACAGGGTGGAAAATGCTAAAGAATGAAAACTTTGGGGTTTTTCCCCTAAACTACCTAAGACTCTCTGCAGCTGTGCCCTGTCTATCTCGAAAGAGTTTCTGGGTTTACAAAGCTTTTTACATTCTACAGTATTTATCTAAAACTCCATTTAAAAGAATCATACTGTATCAATGTGGTGTTAATTACTTTTTTTGAGTTGGTTAATTAAAGCAAATTATTGATAAGGGCTTTGAGCATCTTTTAGTTGGAGCTGGCAGCTCTTATTTAGATTCTCTTCATTCCTTTAATTTATTTCAATTATTTTTTAACCAATTACTGCTATTAGGATATCCAGTAAGGACGAGAGCATTTCTGCCCTACTGGATTGGGAAATCCAAGCCCAATTCCTTGGAGACATTGAGGGGATGGGGAGCTGAGCCTCAAGCTGGGCTTTGACAGTGGAAATTTGGTGAGGAAGGAAGAGGAGAGATCCCACAGAAAGTGGCTGAGGCCAGTTCTGCTGGCTTTGGGTGCTCCTACCCCCAAGAAAATCATCCTGGTTAAAGGGAACTTGAAGAAGCCAGGGGGCTGCACCGGGGGCTGTGCAGGGACCCCAAACCCTGGTCAGGGGCGCTGGGCAGTGCCAGCTGCAGAGGAACGCTGCAGAGGGGCTGCGCTGGAGCCCCTCAGCTTCCATGCAGAGATGCTGGCACTGCGGGGCTTTCGGGACACTGCCGAGAGGCTCCGCTGCCAGAGCCGGGGAGTTCTCCCGTTATGTTCTGTCGTGCTGAGCACCTGGCAAGTCATTACAGTACCACAGGCTGCCAATCCCAGCGGAGCAGCTGGAATCACAGACGGTCACACAGAAACCGGGCTGGGAGAGGAAATGAGCTGTTCCATGTTATTTTTCACAATGCATTTTGAATTTATACCAGAATCTCTTCTCTCCCCTCAGACCCCGTACCCTTGAGTTTTGAGTTTTCTCATAGAAATGTCTCGGCCTGCACTGGAAGAAAGAAAATTCCCTGGCACGTCGGGGAGCGGCGGGGTTTGGGGGTGCTGGGGCGGCACGGGGGTCCCCACACCCCGGCCGGCTTCAGTCAGCACCGGGAAATCGCCGCCGCCGCCGGCTCGGCCCCGGTGCCCGTCCCAGAGCGGCTCCCGCCGTCCGCGGCGGTCCCGGTCCCGATCCCGGCCCCAGCGCCGCCCCGGTGCTCCGGCCCGAGAGAGACCCAGACCCCGCCCGCCGGGGCAGAGGCGGCACCGCCGGGACCCCGGCCGGCACCGCCGGAAACCGAAGCAGCACCCCCGGATCCATCCCGGCGGGCCGGGAGCGATGGCCCCGCCTCCATCCCGGCGGGCCGGGGCGGAGCTTCAGGTGCGGGGCCCGGCGCTGGCTCAGGTGCGCGGGACCGCAGGGCGGCTGCGCGGGGCCGAGATTATCTAAGTGCCGGGAATCTCCCCAACCGCCATTTGCTCCCTCTGAGCGCGTTGGGGACCCATAGATTCTGTCCGGGCTCCGCAGCATCGGCCCTCTCTCCTTCCCCCCCGTCCTTCCTTCTGCTCGTATTCTCCTTATTTCTCTGCCTTTTCCCCTCCTCCCCAAAGCCGACTGCTTTCGCTTCCCTTTCGGCCTCCCCTCCCGTGCCCCCTTCTACTCTTTCTTCCTTCTGCTCGTATTCGCCTTATTTCTCTTCCCGCCTTTCCTTCTCGTCCCCTTTCAGCCTCCCCTCCCGTCCCAACCTCTACCCTTCCTTCTGTTATGTATAGTAAATATAATTCGCGCCATTCCTTGTATGAAATATGTAATATTGGATGCTTGTTAAATCATGCCCGTTGTATTAGTTCCTCCCCCCCTCCTCCCCCTTTTTGTAGGTAAGACTTGAGTGTATACTGGAAACTGATTTACAAGTAA